ATGGTGTGGTGATAAATAATATTATAACTCTAGCACAAATATGAAAAAAAAACCACCTACCCTGATTAGTAATTATAACATATCTAAATATATATATTAAACTAAAATGGTTTACCGTGAAACATTTTCCTTGTATAGTTGTGTGTGAATATCAGAAATTCAGAACTAAGTTTTTTTGTTAGATAGAAGGCACCGGGGTTACCCAATACCCAGTATCCATCCACAACTGTAGATTTATACTGACGCAATTGCATCGGTTAAGCACCGATTAGCATGCCACTGGCAGTAATTTATTACCAATATTAAATTATGCTAGCACAAATGTAAAAAACTAAATTAAATTGAAACAGCTCATAATTTTTAATTTCTTACCTATTATCACACGATAACTCAAAAGACTTGAAAATGAAAGTTTTTGTTTGAACCCAAATAATGAATAATATGACAACATGTTATCGTTAAACATGCGTCCAACTACTCTTCGAACACTGTTGCCCAAGTCATTGTTATCAATTAAAACTGATAATTTGGTAACCTGCAAAACCATTTTAATTGGTATTATAAAAAAATTAATATTAAAAATTTGTTTGATTGAAAAATGATCTGAGTGTGTACCATTGATGTCTTAAAATCATCAATCTTGAGGTTATCTTCCAGTGCTTTTAATTCACTTTCACTATTAACTGTCAATATTTGATCAATATTGAATTTATCATTACATGATGATGTTGAATTTATATTTGTATTACTAATATTCATTAAGGCTTCAATGTTTGTATAATTTGATCGAACCATATTACTCATTAAGCCAATTTCATACTTCAAATTTATTAAATTGTTCATGACAAATTTTTGAAAATCATCTGAAACATTAATATAGTATTATTTTTGTGATTGTATATTCATATGTGGGGTTATTTGGATTTCCAAATCATTTAGCTGTCCATCATAATCTATTTAATAATTTTTATATAACAGTTGGAGTATGACTAGCATAAAAGAATATAAAATAAAATGTACTACTCCCCCCCCCCAAGTAGTACGCTGCTTGATATTTTACCTCTACAAAGAAGCTCTATAAACCATAAATAATATGTTTTTGTTAATAAGTGACCATGAGTCATGACAATGATCTAACCGTTTGAAATTTAACCTCAGAAAAAAATTTCTATCCATACTAAAAACATATTTATGATGATATGCAAAAATTCTTATATGGGTACTTTATTAGTTATAATAGTATCTACAATATACAATTCAGTATGAATCCAATTAAATTTTAAATCACACAATTAATTCAAATATACAATTTATAAAATGTATACCATTTCTTAATGTTATAATTTATTTAATATTTCTTATGAATTACACAATATATACATTTATTATTATTACTTTAACAAGATAATTATTGTTAATGTTTTGAAGATTTTTTTGAAGACTGACAAAGTGATCAATTTAGTTATAAATTTATTTACTTGTGAAATATGAACTATTATGGTAAACCATAGATTGAAAATATTGAATGATATTTATTAGGTATGTGTTGTAAATATATATATATATAATAGTTATCATTTAAAATGTGTAAAATATAATTCAAACATATGGAGAATTATAAATACTTTTGTTGTTTAAGTTATTTTATAACCAATAAATTAACTAACCAATTATCAATAATAGTGTTAATTAATCTATATTTTAATTATAAGATTCTATTGAATGCATTATAACAACCAAACTATAATTATTATATTGTGATGTATTATGTATTAAATTAATAAGATAAGTAAACTTACTATCTGTTTCTTTAAGCTGTATAGAATTATTATCATTAATGACACTGTTTCCTGAATCAAGTTTTTCTTTTATCAAGCTGCTTGTAGAATCTAACAATTTAAATATTGTTTTAAATAGTGAAATAATAAGAAATTTATTTTCAAATCTATACCTGATTTCTTTCTGTTATTGTCTTCGTCATTTGCAAATAATACTCTTTTTATACACATACTATTACCATCAATACTTTTTTGAAAAATCATAGATGTATCATCGTGTTTTTCTACACTCCATTTGCTATTAGAAGAATTGATGAATTGAATTTTATGATCACTTGTGTTTATTTTATTTGTATCAGATACAATTTTAATATTGTCACTTGCAGGAGAGCTTATTAATTCTGAATTACTGCCATAACGCCTATAACTAAATTTTTCCCCTGGAGGCAAGTATTTTATTCCTGCAGAATCATCTTCGCTATCATCGTTGTCAGAGACTGAAAATTACATAGCGTGTATTTAATAATCATTTACTACACATATTTTTTGGAGTACCTAGTAAGGTTCTGCTATCCACAGGAAGATCATTAAAACAATCATGATTTTTCAAACCTTTTAATAGTCCATTAAGAGCGACATGAGTGACATTGTGTTCAGTAGCCCAGTGAAATAAAAACTTTTTTATTGAAAATTCTGCAGATGTAGAATTTACATGTGAATTAACATCATTTGAAAACAATTTAGCATTTTCTGAAGATATATTTTCGTCATTAATAGGCATGAAAGAAGTATCTGAAGTTGCTGTTGTTGAAGTTTTTTCTGATAGCTTAATAATTGTTTCTTTTGATGTAGTTGGATGAGACGGACTTCCATTATCAACGGACAAATTGCAAGGAACTGAATTTAGATTATTTTCTGACTTAGACGCATGATTAAAAAAAAGAGATTGACTTGTATAATTTAATTCATGTTTTATTTTTCTTCTTTTTGATCGTTGACTTTTAATCATTTTATATTTATTTAAGAAAAAAAATTTTAAATTGATGACAAAAAAAGAGTATATACCTAATAATAACCCATATACCTAATAATACAATATTTTATACCAGTAGGTACCTATTAGGTAATGTGAATAGTATGATATTATATACTAAACCTAAAATAAGAATTTAACGAGATATTTAATTAGTAGACATAATAAAATAAATACAAAACTATTTTTAATGAGGTAGGTAACATTTATTATTGTAACTTTTTTCTATCTATTAATGTATGGTAAGTATGGTAGTTTCAGTAAAAAAAATCAAAATTTAAGTTTGTAATAATATACCTAAATGTTCAACAATATGGAACAAATCTAGTTTAAGGGCCAAGCGATTTTTTCAATTTTTTTTTTTCAAAGTGTGTGTTTTAAGGCCCTGAATTTGAATCTGTTTGAAAAAATTGTCGCTCTTTTTTACTACGGAAGTTATACCAAAAAACCGGTAAAAAATCGATTTTTCAAAATATCACGGTATCGTTGGTAAAAATAGCCCAAGACGACTTTTTTAAAATTTTTTTTTTATAAATGACGTGTGTTTTTGTATGCCCAAGTTTTTGGTGCAATCACATTTTCCATATTGTACTTACTTTTGAAGTTATACCAAAAAAACCGGGGAAAAAATCGTTTTTTAAAAATATTATGGTACCTATCGTCGTTAAAAATAACCGAAAACGACTTTTTCATAAAATTCTTTTATAAATATGAGAAAGATACAATTTGGTATAAAGATAAATGTGAAGTATGGAAAAATGTATTTTTCCGTACCGAAAGTCGTGTATTACAATTCACTTTTTTTTTATTTTTATCAACATACGATTTTCGACATCGCCACTGAAACCCATCCGTTGCTTCCAAATTAGCACATAATATTAAATTATGTCCCTGGTCGCACTTCAATGAATTGTCAGTTGCCATCAAGTTCCATGACTGTAATTTTTGAATCACAGTTAGTGAAAGTTAAGCAAGCCTACCTTAAGTAGGTTACAGGAAAAGTTATGTCGTTGTATATGGGCAGTCATTACGCGTATCCCCCGACTTGCTATGCAACACCACCTCAAGTATGTCACAGGGTACATAATACATAACTACATAAGTTTCAAAAAAAAAAGGTATACTGAATACGTATGTACCAAAAAATAACAAAAATGGTCCTCCGCGCGTCATTATAGTAGTGTTGCGCGCATGCGTATAAACGTAAAATCGAAAACTTTGGAAGGCCATAACTTCGGAACTAAATGAGAGCGACAAATTCTGATTGCACTATCGTTCTTAACTCGATGAGATACATAAGTTTCGATAAAAAAAATTGAAAAAAATCGCTTGGCCCCTAAACTAGATTTATGCCATTAAATTTTTTTAATTCATATTATATTAACACTAAGATAAGATTATTGTTGTAAAACAAAAAAAAAATATATATATATATTGTTAATGACATAAGATACTAACCTAGATAATAAGCAAAATATATACTGTAATATTGTGGAATATAACCTGTATTTGTCAATAATATTTAATAAATATAACCAGAAAAATATGGTGGAATGTACCATATAATTACAATAATGTAACTAAATATTTGTAACAACATATTATGTAAACATGAAATAATTTAATGTAATGTAATAATTGATATATGTAAAATTTGTAACCATAGGAAAGTGATTGAACCGATGGAGGGATGATTGAGTTAATTTTTCTCATTTTAGACGATAAAAATCAACTTTTAAAGGGGGAGCTGTAGTAAGCAAGTTACTACCTAACAATAAAACCAATTCCACAGGTACATAATTAGTATAATATAGTATATACTGTAGATCGGCATAAATCGGATATTAGAAACGGAAATAGGATTTCCTACTGGTCAACATAAGGAGACAGGCTCACTGAATAATATAATGACTCAGGAAGCACTGTACACGACGATATTCAAATATAAAAGAGTAGAATGATTATTCTAATGAAATAGACCATAGATTAACATTTTAGTAATACGCAGAATTATATTGGGAAGTCATAAAATGCGTGGGCTGGAACGATGACCACACAAATCACATCCGTAAGCCGAGATACAGTATCCATAGTCAAGGGGTACGGGGAACCTAAAATATGCCAATGTGAACTTTTAGCTCACAAAAGTGTTTTAAAAAACATTTAAAACTGAAAAACATGTAGAGCTAATGAGAGTATCTGTAAATCAGCAGAATTTACCACAATTTTTTGAAAACAAATCAGGCTTAGTAAATAATATAAAAAAAGCTGAAATTAAGTTGGTTGGTTTTTTAGCTACCACTAACTTGCCTTTCACTTTGATGGATACATTATGTCCTCTATTAAAACATATAGCTCCCGATTCGGAAATATTAAAAGACATAGCTACTAAACGTACAAAGGCGACTGAAATAATGAAATTAACAATTGAAAAACACTTTAAGTTAAAACTTTCAGAAAAATTAATTACCCCTGGCTAATTTTTTTCTTTGGTATTGGATGAAGCCACAGACAGATCCACTACTAAACAAAGTGCTCCAACAGTTCCATTTTATGATGAAGATGAAAAAGTGGTTAAAACTCATTTTTTGGATATAATTTAAAATCCGTTGGGAACTGCAGACAGTTTATATATGTGTATTCGACCATTCTATGCCACTAGAAAATTTTGTAGGATTTTCTTCAGACACTACTAATGTAATGGTTGGAAAAAGTAATTCAGGTTTTTCCTTATTGAAAGACCAAAATCCAGCTATTGTTTGTGTCAAATGTAGTTGCCATTCGATACATTTAGCCGCTTCTAAGGCATGTTTGAATCTACCTAGATCTGTAGAGGATCTTTTAAGAGACTTAGGTGCTCATTTCAGCAGAAGTTTTGCAAGGAAATGTGCCCTAATTGAATTTCAGAAGTATTTTCAAACCGAAATCCATTCAATTTTAAAACCTTCCAATACTCGCTGGCTCTCATTAAAGTCATATGTTGATCGAGTTTTGGAACAATACCCAGCATTAGAAGCCTACTTAAAGGAACTAGTATATGAAGACCCATCCAAAACTTCTAATGAAATGCTGAAAACAATGAATAACTGTTATACTAAAATTTATTTAGAATTTTTGTCTTATATATTATCTTATAATATAGTCTATTATAAGACTAGACTTATGGACAGACTTAACATAGTATTCCAATCTGAAGCTCCTTTATCGTACAAACTAAAATCAGAAGTCGAACGTCTATTAACAAATATAGTAAGCAATTATATAGAGCTGAAGTATGTTAAGTTATTGACAAATATTTTTGAAGTTGATGAAACGAAACCCCATCACTTTGAAAAACAAGATAATATTTACATAGGCATGGAAGGTTCTGAAAGTATTTTATTAATTAAATCATCTACTACAACTCAAGATTTGGATATTTTTTTATAATTCTTGTCTTGACTTTTACATCGAATTGGTTAAGGATATCAAAAGTCGTTTCAATTTTGTAGTTAGTGATCCACTTTTTGATATGATAAAAATTGTAGATCCAGCCCATGCACAATCATTCCAAACAAAATCATTAAAACCAATTTTTATTAGATTTCCAATTCTGAATAATATAGTAAAACAACAAGCCACCGAACAAGAATGGCGTGAACATGCTTTATTAAATCATTCCATTGAAAATTTGGACACCTCACTTTCAGTAGAAGATTATTGGAGCCGTGTTTTCAACATCAAAAATGCAGCAGGCACTCCACTTTTTAACAATTTAAAAGTAGGTAGTAATTAAGTTTTAAAGTAGTAATTAAGTAATCTAGTTATATTCTATGTAATGAAATAATGTATATAATGAGTTAGGGTTTTCATTAAACTATTCTAAGATTGATTCTTGATTTTTTCATCAATACTATTCAGTCACTACTAAATATGAATTCTGGTATGAATTATTGATAAAAAATCAAATTAATTATATTTCATTTTTTTTTTAATAATATTTTTATTTTTATATTATATAGGAAAATGCACATTCTAAAAAAAATATTATTATTTTGTTCATTTTCTGTGGCCTTGTATACTTTAATAAAATATAGTATTCTTCAATAGTCCTAAATATATTTAGGTAAAATAAAAAAATCTATTTTTTCTTATACATTCATTAAAAACTGCTATTTAAAATACATATTTTATTGGGGTTTATAATTACTATGTTCCTAATTGGCTTCCTATACAAATTTTATATTGTTTGATTTATTTTATAGTTATTCTTTGAAAGTATCCATGTGTAAGTAACATTTTTAAATCTAAGTAGGTAATATACTTATAAGTACCTACCTCAACTTTTTTCTTAAAATGCTAGAGTTGTAATTTCATTATTTATTATTAGGGTTATTATTATACATAATCAAATATGGATTCTGAAAAACAATATGCTAATAAGAAAAAATGCCCATCATCGTCCAAGTCACAATTTAATAAAAATATAAGACAACAACTTCAAACTTTAGACTGTATTAAAAAAAAACAATGCATTATTATCTAGTAACTCAACTATTAAATATACTAGAACAAGCGTCCAAACTATCCCTCATTCTAGAGACATGACAAATGATTTATTTACTATTGAACAAGACAATCCCAATCCTGCTAGTGTTTCCAAACAACCTTTGCAGACGATCACAGTAAACAATGATTTAACTTCGCCTAGAATTATTTCAACTGAATTAGAATCCAGTATACCAGAAAATTTTGAAAATAATTTGACAACAAATGCAGACATTCCTGATCAATTGCGAGCCGGGGCAATAAGAAATACAATTACTCATGTTGCTCTACGCGAGTTATTGTTTATACCAAAGCAAATACCTGAATTGAGAACTCTTCCAAAAGATCCCAGAACCTTTTTGCAAACACAGAGAAGAACTATTTTGCGTGACATTAACCCAAGAAAATACTATCATTTCGGTTTACAAAATGGCATTGTAAATATTTTGGAAAAAGTTGATCTTTTAAATATTCCTGATGTGATAAATGTTGGTATAAACATTGATGGATTACCTCTTAGTGATTCATCTTTAAGCCAGGTTTATCCAATTTTATGTTTAGTTACTAATGTTAAAATTTTATTGCCTTTGAATATTTTTTGTATTGTAATTTATCACGGTTACGATAAACCATTAGATTTTAATCAATTATTGGAGGAATTTGTAAATGAGGCTGTTAATATGACTTTAAATGGTATATATATAAATGGTAAACATTTTAATTTCAAAATTTCCATGTTATTGTTTGATGCTGTTGCTAAAGCAAGTGTACTTAAAATCAAAGGCCATAGTGGATATTCATCATGTACAAAATGCACACAGGAGGGAGAATATTTAGACCATGTGATTTTTCCAGATATTGAATTTATAAAGAGGACTGATGAAGATTTTGTTAATCAATCTGATCCAGAACACCACACTGGTCATTCTATCTTACAATAAATTCCTAACTTAGGTCTAGTAACTGATGTTCCTCTAGATTATATGCACCTGATCTGTTTAGGTGTTGTTAAAAAGCTATTGGTCAACACATGGTGTTTTGGGCGGCCTCCTCATAAGTTACAATCGAGTACAGTTGAAAAAATATCAGACACATTATTAAGTTTAGTAAGATATATTCCACATGAATTTGTAAGAAAACCAAGACATATCAAAGAGGCTAAAAGGTTTAAAGCAACAGAATTTCGTCAATTTTTATTATACACTGGTATAATAGTTTTAAAAAATAATTTAGATAAGAATAAATATGAACATTTTTTAACATTGCACGTTGCTATACGTATTTTATCATCTGATGTGTTGATGAAAACTATGACTGACTATGCTGAAGAGCTATTAAAGCATTTTGTTCTGTCTTCAAAATTAATCTACAGCCCTAAAATATTGTCACATAATTTCCATAATTTATTGCACATCACTGATGATGCCAGAAAATTCGGAAATTTCAACTTGTTTAGTAATTTTTCGTCTGAAAATTATCTTCAAAAAATTAAAAAACTGTTAACAACTCATAATAATGTACTGTCACAAATTGTACATAGATTATCAGAAGAAAATAATTTACATAAATTACCTATTTCACATAAAATAAATATTGGAAGTTTTAGGACGTCCATGAACTTGGCCCACCGTCATATTAATATCAATCTGAAAATGGTATTAAAATTTTGCGAGTAATTTGCGAGAATTTGCGAGTCACTTTTACACATCTCAATGGCGAGTGGGCCAACTTCATGTAGCCCACCCACTTCACCCGATTTTCACCAAACCGGTGTCCAAAGCTTCGTTTTGATTTGCGAGAATTTGCGAGGGCGGTCCCCGAATTTGCGAGTGGCCCAAAGCTGAGATACGAGCTTTCAAAGTTCTGAAGTTGGCCCACCCACTTCACCCGATTTTCACCAAACCGGTGTCCAAAGCTTCGTTTTGATTTGCGAGAATTTGCGAGGGCGGTCCCCGAATTTGCGAGTGGCCCAAATCTGAGATACGAGCTTTCAAAGTTCTGAAGTTGGCCCACCCACTTCACCCGATTTTCACCAAACCGGTGTCCAAAGCTTCGTTTTGATTTGCGAGAATTTGCGAGGGCGGTCCCCGAATTTGCGAGTGGCCCAAAGCTGAGATACGAGCTTTCAAAGTTCTGAAGTTGGCCCACCCACTTCACCCGATTTTCACCAAACCGGTGTCCAAAGCTTCGTTTTGATTTGCGAGAATTTGCGAGGGTGGTCTCCGAATTTGCGAGTTCTTTAAAAAGTGACACTTACATGTAAGTTCTGGTAAATGAGTCAGATACGAGCTTTCAAAGTTCTCAAAGTATTCGTATTTAAAGTCAATTACTTATTTTCAAATATTTATTTTTATTTCGTTTAACTATGTTATATTATAAATTGTTCAATTTATTTGAATAAATAAAGTTGGTTCTTTAAATAATGACACTTACATGTACGTTCTGGTAAATATGTCTGAAATGAGCTTTAAATGTCCAAAGCTTTGTTTTGATTTGCGAGGGCGGTCCCCGAATTTGCGAGTGGAACAAAGTGGTACAATCCCGAAATTTGCAAGTCAAAATTCCAACCCTTACGATTTTTCAAAGTTTTTAACCCCAGCCCTGACTTGTTGTCAGAAACTTTCAAAACTAGTGTCAAAACCCTCGTTTTAATAAGCAAGAATTTGCAAGTCAAGTTATAGAATTTGCAAGTTACTCAGAAAGCCAGTAAGAGCTTTAACAGTGTGGAAGTTAGCCCACCAAGGTTGACCCAGAACTTCAATATAGGTATCAAACAAAAGCTAATGATTAGCAAGTTCATTTTTAGATTTTGCAAGTAATTTGAGCGGCCAGTAAGAGTTGTCAAAGTTACGAAGTTGGCCCACCCAAGTTGCCCTAAAACATTGAAAATCGTACCAAACTATAGATTTTAATTTGCAAGTATTTGGGAGTCCAAAATTAAAGTTTGCAAGTCATTCAGATGGTCGCTATGAAGTGCCCGCTTACTTTTGAAGTTTTCGGGGTGTTTGGAAGTTGTTTGGAAGTATTCGTATTTAAAGTCAATTACTTATTTTCAAATATTTATTTTTATTTCGTTTAACTATGTTATATTATAAATTGTTCAATTTATTTGAATAAATAATGTTGGTTCTTTAAATAATGACACTTACATGTACGTTCTGGTAAATATGTCTGAAATGAGCTTTAAATGTTCTCAAAGTATTCGTATTTAAAATCAAATTATTATTACCTCATATCAAAGCAAAACAAAAAAAAAATACATAAATAGATTTTAGTAGGTTATATTATAGCCCAAAAAAAATGTTATTCTATAAGTAGTTAAAAAAATAGATATTACTATTATTAGATGACTAATTACAAATACCATACCACAGATTGCCCATGCATTTTTTTTTATTCATTATTGATTTTTTATTAAATATACATTTTTTATCAAATAGCTGATTTCTTATTTGTATTTTTTTATTTTTATTTTGGTTTGTTTTGCAATCTATCGATTGATTTTTTATTGAATATACATTAAAATAAATTAAACTAAAGCTGGATTCAAAAACCAATCTAAATAAAAATTTAAAAATCTATGTTTGTATCAAAATGTAAAATTAATAAAAATCTATTTGATAAAAAAATCTATTTTGTATGTCAAAAAAATGCCAGTTTGAATTCACTGGGACCATGCTGGATGCATATAACCTACTAAAACCTTTTCATGTATTTTTTTTTTTTTGTTTTGCTTTGATATGAAGTAATAATTCGAATATAAATCGTCATGAAGTAAAAATAAAAATTATTAAAACTAGGGTTAAATATTTATAAAATTGACAGCAAACAATTGCAAATTAATTTTTAGAATATTCAAAAGAAAATTATAGTATGAGAAAATTAGTTTTCACTTTATAGAGGTTGAGGAGAAAATTTTAAAATGTGGTATGCAATTTGTTACAAAATATTAGGAATGGTCAATTCCACAGCTGTAAAAAATTTTAAGGTGTAAAGTTGACGCCAACATTATGAAATCATATTTTCCAGGGTAACTGTGGTATTGCTAACGGACAAGTTGGTGTGGCTATCTAAATTTCACGAAAAACTCGCCAAAATTCCAATTTTGATTTGCAAATTCTAAAAATCAATTTGCAATTATTCGCAATTAACTTGCAAAATATTGACACTGGTTTGCTGTCGATTGGACAAATTGGTGGGGCTAACTTCTCTACCACCATATTATACTATATTGTATGTATGTACATTGTACAATGTACATTGTACCTACATATTATAGTCGTTTATTGTATGCCTTAATGAAGCCAATTTTTTAAAATCCAATGTGTGGTCGACAGTTAGATTATATTGCGTATTATTATATTGTATCAACTACTAAGTGTAATATCAACATTTGTTTTATTCATTAACAGTTAATCCAAAATCGTTACTTTAAGATAAAAATGAAATATACCTTTCGAACTCTTAAGTTGGCTCACCCAATACGACTGTTTTTATTAAATTGTATAATGTTGAATTAAGGCATTGAATAATTACACATACATATTATATGTTCAGAAAAAAAAATGTAATTCAAATATTTAAAATAAATAAATACTTTTGAAATAATAACTAAAATAAAAACAAAACAACTTATCTTTGTTAATAGAAACTGAAGTATAAATGTGTAATTAATTAGCACACAACTTCATAATAGGTTATCCTTACCATTTTTAGATTTTATAAATAAATATATACAATAAAAACTTGTACAAGTTATAACATTACTCTTGTATGTACATTAAAATATGAGGAGTTACTTTTTGTCGGTATACACGTTTAGTTTGTTTTTCAAGATCGTTGTGTAATTCCCAAATATTGTTTGCTCTTTTTATAAACGTCATATAATGGTTACTACTGTAGGCTATTGCTGCAACTAATATGTACCTATAATAAAATCCAAATACGTTGTGTTTTAAAATGAATCATATAAAATAAGTTTTTAATTAATTTATTTTGCTTACTGTTTATTGTCTACAATGATTTCCTGTGGAATATCTGTTAGTTGGCAGGATAAAATATTGTCCGTTTTGAAGACCAATGAATCGAGTTCAATAAATATATGCTCTTGAAGTTTTCGTTGTATATTTTTTTCTCCACCACAAGGCAATGAATTGTTAGGCAACATACAGATTTCAGGTCCACTTTTTACATATTTTTCTATCATTTGAGGTAAAATAGATATACCTTCAACTATAACACGAAGACCATCTGTTTCACTCATCAATATTGTTGGCGATGATCGGCTTTTTTTATAATTTCGGCATTTTTGATTACTGCAACTTATATCTTCAACACAGCTAGGCACTTCCTTCAACAGACCATGAATAATAAGGCTTACATTGCACTCTGCATTGATTAAATGGACATTATCAACACAAGTATCTGAGGTAAATATAGTGTTAAGTAATTGAAATCTTCTATTGTAAATTTTTGCTGAAGATCCATGATTAGCAATTTCAACGACAAAGTTTAAAAATTCAACATTTTTTGAATTTATATACGATTGATATGAAGGAAAGTCTGTATAAGCCATTGCAATTCCAAACACCAACGAATCAAATGCACACGTGTTGCTGATAATATATTTTTTTTTGTTCAGGCTGCATGGAGTTGTCACATTTCCATTTCGTAAAAGTACAGTTTTCGACGATCTTGTACACGTTTTACTTATAATTCGTTCGATTTCTGGATATGCTTCTAAATATTTAGTTCTTCTTTTTTTAGTATTTTTTGTTACGAGTTCTCCTGAAATACCTTTATCTATTGTTAATAATTTTTTAGAAGTTCTCACTCGCTTTTCTGATTTTATAAGAGGCCCGGTCCTTATATTCTTTAAGCCTCTCCAAGTTTCTTCTTTATTTAATGAATCATCACTACTTGAAGAAGAGTAATTGATTGACAAAACATTTTTAGGACTAGAAATAATTCCGCTGTTATCAATATGACTAGCTTCAGTGGAACTTTCTAACACTTCTTCTGTGCTATGGCTTGGTGACTCATACGAAGTGTAGTTGACCTGATGACAATTATTCTCTTCTGAGTCATTGTCAATATTAGATTTCATTGAAGGAAACAGTTGTTCACTTCTCACGAATTTCATCGTATTTTCTAAGCTCCGTAAATGTGTGACAACAAATCGATCAACTGATAATAGTCGAGATTCGTGTCTTAATATAGAATTTTTTAACTGTGAAAATTCACCTTCTACAGCAGCTGAAGTAGCCGTGAGATACGGAGACTTGAAAAACCCTACCATTACATTTGTCCACATGGGGAATTTTTTACAAATTCTCATTAATGGCACTTGAATATCGGGCACATAATATGCATTTAAACTATCTCCTTCTACTGAAGAATGAATTCTAATTTCGAATTCAATTGCTTGAAAAAACTTGTCTAAACAAGATGAGCTTCCTTCTTCTTCATCATATTCACCATCCCAAATGTTATCGTTAAAATCTAAAGTTTCTTCTTCTTTAGAAACCTCTATTCTATTTGATGGTGAATGACCTATACAAAACATTAATGTTAGTAATTGTCGCGCAACTAGAGTTCAAATATATTATTAAAAATAAAAAAACTCAACACACAAATATACGAATTACCGTTTTTTAACATAATTTAATTTTAAAAATATTTAGCTTCATTTTAATTTATTTATGGGCATTTGAAATATTTGATTTTTTTTAAATATTGATAAAAAATGTTTATTTGAGTTAAAATACTTGACAATTGAATACAAGGTTTTACATAAGTTGTTCTTATAGTGATTAAAGTAGTTCACAAAATCACAAATATTTATAAAATACTGTGTAGTTATAAATGTAGTTAAAAATAATATATAATTATCTAATATATAATATTGATACCTTAAACAAAAAATAACATAACAAATATCGAAAATGCGTTGGTTGGTATGCAAAATTGGATTTTTATGAAGTTAAATTTTAAGTCTAAATATCGTTGATTTTTTATATTTAAAGAAAAATACAAAATTGTTATCATCATAAAATATTATTCATAGAGAATTGACTTTTCCTAATTTTGTGTATTTTTATTAACTATACATAATACTGTTTTTTTCAAAATATTAATGAGAACAATTGATATATTATAAATAACAGACCGTCTCCGCTCAGATGAGTTCTTCTTGTAGTTATGATTCATTGAATTTAAATTTAACACATTAAAGTGCCCTACTCAATAATGAAATACACTCAACATAATCTGTACAACAGTGGTTTGTTTTTATTTTCATATTTATGTGATTTTGTAAATAGGTACAGTTACTTTCTTCATTACTGAAAGATTACTTGTAAATATTTTTCTTTACAATTTGTGTGACCCATTTTTCAAGATTAATAAAATGTACTAAAATATTTGACAGTTGTGTGTTTCGGATACAGCTAAAAATAACTAATCAATTTTTCACGATTCTTTTACACCTTAATTATTTTTTATGGTCTAGATCTAATACACTCATATTTAAAATGGATTATTAAATTGTTTAACAATGAATGAAACTGGTGAAATGTATGTAAATTTATTTTACTGTTAAAATTTGATTAATTTCGCCAGTTCCTATCACTATATTTTGTATATGAAAATTATTTACCTTTAATTAAACTCAGTAATCGAATTCGAGAATCTTCAGCTGGTGTATTTGTTTCTAACGAATCTTTAATTTTTCCGTCATACTCGTTCGTACAAACTGTTAATATATCAATTAAAATATTTTTAAATTTGTTCAAACATTCACAATGAACCAGTAAAACCATGCACCTGTAATTAGTAAATAATTTTCTAAATTAAATGAATAACCGTTAAATCATTAGGTATAAAGAACCATTACAGTTATACAATCTGATCAATGCTATGGTATAGCAAGTTTATTATAATTTTCTAGATATCAGTTTACGAACAGTAATTTTTTTTTATAGAATTTATAACACCAAATGTAAGTTTTTTATTTTACTAAAATGAAGAACGAGTGTGAATAACAATCCTAAAATATAGTTATCTTAATAAAAGTTATAATTGAAGATTGAACAATCAATATCCTGTACTTATAGAAATTACCATTTCTGTGCAGTAAATTTTTTATTTTTTAACTTATGTTTTTGAATCAAAAATTTTGAAACTCAAAAAATAACTCATCTAAAGTACCTTCGGGTCCAATTAGTTTACTGAAAATAAAATATAATATATGGTTTGATCGAAAAAATAATTTTAATTGAAATTTATATTTAAGATAAAAAAAAATATTGAAAATAGTTGTACATTACAGTAAACCTAACGTTATTCGCTTTTGTTTGAAATCTGACGATAATATAATATATTAATGCTTTACTCAGTATAAAAAATTTAGAAAAAAATGTACGATTACGTATTAATTATTACATAATTATATATATCTACATATTTCTACAATTTAAATACCTGACAAAAAATTCCTTGAGATGATATGTCTTAGTACCCTTCCAACATTTCCACCGGCATACTATATTGATAAGATGAGCAATGTCTATTCTTACAAAACAAGTAAGCTGTTTATTTGATAATTTTTTCTCTGTTAAAATTTCCAAACATGATTCTATGTAGGTCTTTATTGTCATGCCTCCACAAAACGCTCTGGTAATAGCACCTAAAAGCGCCATCGAAAAATCACATACTGTTTCTTGAGGCGCAGATACACCATCCTTCATCCACAGCATTAACCACAAAAATATAGTAAATGTGTCTTGTTTTTCGCTAAGCATTTGTGTCACCGAGGTTTGGTATGCATTAGAAGAAACGACCGCTTCATACAAAAAAATATGGCTAGATAATATGCCTTCTTTTGTACGCTTAAGTTTCTTCACGATACTGCCAGTCGCGTCAATTGATAAGCGGACATAAGTTTTGCTTATGGTTCTATATACAACTAACTGACACGGTGTCCAGTAGTTCACTATGAAAGGCTTAGCACAAACTTGATGGATTGAACCGGCATATTGTGTTAGACTTAACTCTACTAGTGACATTATCGGACACTTTTCGGTTATGCCTAGTATTTTGTCTTTTTCGGATTGCTTGCATTTCCACAATACTGTATTTTTATATATATTTGATGGTATTTTTTCACCAAAAGTCATTGATGTTACCGCCTGTCGCCTCCAATTACTGGCACTATCATGAGACAGCTGCATGCCTACTTCTTGACGTTTTGCTCCATTAAGAGGCCTTTTTGAAGTATGTTCATGCAGCATGTCCATACCTTATCATTATTTTTACAACTAGTGGCATACCTTCATCAGGCCTTTTTTCTGCCCAGCCTACTACTACCGCCAAACAATCTTTACATTTTCCTGAAAAGTCAATGAAATGTTTTGCCTTATTTACATCATTTGCTACCCGACATCTTTTATAAATTATGTTACAGGAAATGCTACAACTTTTTATGAACCAGTCATTAATAATGTTGGTCCATACCCCTTGCTTCAAAACTGTGTACATTTTTTTGAAATTTTTCTTTCCGTATGAAACATCTATTGGGCTAATTTTGATATACTCTCGATATGGAATATCAAAACCATAGAACTTTTTGTTATCATAAAAATCATTTTTTTCATCATCAGAATCTGTTGAATATTTATTATCATTTGAATTATCATTTTCATCAGACATAATAGCTTTGAACTCAACTGCAAGAGGCTTCTTTACAATTTCTCTGAGTTTCGTCTGCAATTCATGACGATCTTGCTGAACACATGAATAGAGGGTATGAGCTGTAATTTTTTTATTTAACATATTGCTTAGCTCACTCCATAATGGATGTGAATATGGAATAAGATGTCCATCCAAATCAAACAAGGCCATAGCTACATTACTCAATGTTTCAAAAACCAACTCTGGCGGGATACGAGGTTTTCTTCCAGCGTTATGCTATCAAAACAATTATTAAAAATATTAATTTAAATTCGTATTTTATTTATTTGTAGATCACAAAGATATTTATGAAAAATGTTATGATAAAAATATAAACATTTATGAATATTTATTATCAGTATTATGAAATAAATATTATAGTAATTTAGATTTAATTATTAATTTAAGGATAATCTGCAAGGCAGGGCAAAGTTAACTATTTTTTTTAACTCGTTAAGTTAAGTTAATTTGGAAAAATTTAAGTTAAGTTTAAAGTTAAAAATTACTTTCCTTTTTATTTATTTACTTAGTTAAAAACGGTTGTATTCATTTAACAGAAAAATATTATAATAATAATAAATATAAAATAGGACTGGATTCTATATTTTTAAAAGGTTTAAATTTAATAAATATTGAAACAGATTGTAAAATACAAATTCTTGATCAAATTATACAAATAAAAAAAGGAGAATATAGTATTACAGAATTTAACAAACTAATTAATCCTAGTGTTAACTTATGTTAATAAAAAATTGAAATAATATCTCCTTGTTATTATAATTTAGATGAAAATTTAAAAAAATGTTTAGGCTTTCAAAACACTGAATTTGATTTTTCAATAGTTAGTAGTAATCCAATAATTTATTATCCTAATTCTAATGAAAATTATATAAATATAGAACAAGATTGTAAATTTAGATTAGGCAGAAATGGTGAAATACCAATGGACACAATTTTTAAAGGAATATACACATAAATGAAATTAAAAATGTATTGAATTGTTACGATTTTCCTAAAATAAGTCTTGAATTAATTAATACCTATTATAAAAGTTTTAGAGAAGAATTTTTTCAACAATTGAAATAAGCTCGATTTTTTATATTTTTATTAATAAGTTAAATAATTAATCGATAAAAAGTAAAAAAAAAAAATGTTAATTTACCATGCGATATTGGACGATTGGAATACGATATCAAAAATCGGATTTATTACGTTTGTTAAAAAAATTCTCCTCTACAATTTTTATAATAGGTATTTTTATTGTAAACCGCTTCAATAAGCTGTATTACACTATTACCTACTTGAAGAACAAAAGTATAGTTTTTATTTGTATAAAATTCGGATACGAATACAACATATAAAATCGAACCAAATTAAATAATATTTGTCACAAATATAATAATCATTTTCTTATCTGGTTATTTATAAACTATGCACGGGTGGTCGGCTGCGATAGAGAACCTGTTTTGATCATGGTGCGGTACCGTTAATGCGCGCGGGGTGGTGGTATGCACAGCTAGTATCGAACGCTGCCACTGACTACGGGCGCAGCACTTGCCGAGCGTAATTTTCTGCAGTTTTCTTATAAAACATACTTTGCGCGTTCCAATAATATGGGTTACTGAGTGGTTTAATCATAAAAACACCTATGAACAAAATTGTAGAGGAGAATTTTATCTGGTTCCGTAAGAAGCCCGATTTTCGATATCTTTAAAACATCATGAAATATATCTTGATTAATAATACACTTTTTTTTCATTTTCCGGAAGTTAATTTTAGGACTTATAAATGAAAATTTCAAAAATCGGGCTTCTTACGAAACCAGATAAAATTCTCCTCTACAATTTTGTTCATAAGTGTTTTTATGATAAAACCACTCAGTAACCCATGTTATTGGAACGCGCAAACATGTTTTTAAAGGAATTTTTCGAGTGATTTTTTTGGGTGACACGTCCTCTTAACATAATAGTTATTGTTATTATAATTTTTTTTTTTTTTACTACACAAAATTCTATAATTAATATTTGGGGTTCGTACAAAGAAAAAAAAAATACTTAACGTGACTATAAAATAAATTAACGCGTTAAGTTAGAAGTTACTTAAAAAAAAAGCAATTCGTTAAGATAGAAGTTACTTCTTAGAAAAAAAGTAATTCGTTAAGTATCTTAGTTAAAAATAACTTAACTTTTTAACTTAACTTTAACTTTTTAACTCGTTAATGCCCAGCCTTGATAATCTGAATATAATATGTCAGTATATTTTGATCAACAATAATTTTAAATAAACTAACTAAAATCTGAAAATGTAACATGCCTATTGCTAAGGTTGATACTTAGATTATAGTAAATAACTTACCTTATTAGTCTCCATTTTATAAATAACTATGTAATTATAACACCAACGTCTAAGTGCAATCAAAAAATGCCTAACGGTTTAACACTGACGTCTGTCTCACTAAACAGCGTTCTGCAAATTAATGGATATAATTATAAAACGTTCGTATCGTAATAACTGATAATGATAATGAAAACATATGTATATTGAACCATTTAAAAATAATACAGGCACGGACCTGTCCAGCGGCATGGGTGCATAGACTAGAGACCGACTCGACGGCCGACGGTGGTATATGGTATAAATGTATAATACTATAATAATTGATAAAAATATAAATAAAACAATATTTCCCGTCATCGGTTCGCCTCACACACACGCGCAATAAACATATTATAATATATATTTTAAAATAATAAAATCATACACAATAATTATCAAAATACAAAATAAATTATAATAATAATATTGTAACATTTACGTGACCACACTGTCTTAATGACCGTTGTCACCAGTCGCCACTCGCAGTCTCACAATACTACGAATTGCAATAAATTAATATATTTAATAACGTGGAAACAAATAACATACAGTTGACGCAAATACGCATTCAAGAATACCCTAATGGCCTAGTGGGTAGTACCACTAGTACAGTAATACCTACGCGATACCCATATCAACTCTTCTAAATATCTTATCTTTGGTAGTCACAATGAATAACTATAATACCTAGTAATAACGTAATAATATTATAACCATGACGGGGAAATAAGACCGTTTAATTATAAAATATTTTTAACTCTCAATAATTTCGTTTGAACATTTTTGGATAGTACTCGGTATCGCTCAGCTATATAGTGTATAGTCTACAAACAGTACAAAGTACAAACTACAATCAATTCCCAAATTCGGAGACCACCCTCGCAAATCAAAACGAAGCTTTGGACACCGGTTAGGACACCAATTATTAGAATAGGTTTGTAGTAGATCGGGTTAAATCGGTTGGCCAACTTCCAAACACCCCGAAAACTTCAAAAGTAAGCGGGCACTTCATAGCGACCATCTGAATGACTTGCAAACTTTAATTTTGGACTCCCAAATACTTGCAAATTAAAATCTATAGTTTGGTACGATTTTCAATGTTTTAGGGCAACTTGGGTGGGCCAACTTCGTAACTTTGACAACTCTTACTGGCCGCTCAAATTACTTGCAAAATCTAAAAATGAACTTGCTAATCATTAGCTTTTGTTTGATACCTATATTGAAGTTCTGGGTCAACCTTGGTGGGCTAACTTCCACACTGTTAAAGCTCTTACTGGCTTTCTGAGTAACTTGCAAATTCTATAACTTGACTTGCAAATTCTTGCTTATTAAAACGAGGGTTTTGACACTAGTTTTGAAAGTTTCTGACAACAAGTCAGGGCTGGGGTTAAAAACTTTGAAAAATCGTAAGGGTTGGAATTTTGACTTGCAAATTTCGGGATTGTACCACTTTGTTCCACTCGCAAATTCGGGGACCGCCCTCGCAAATCAAAACAAAGCTTTGGACATTTAAAGCTCATTTCAGACATATTTACCAGAACGTACATGTAAGTGTCATTATTTAAAGAACCAACTTTATTTATTCAAATAAATTGAACAATTTATAATATAACATAGTTAAACGAAATAAAAATAAATATTTGAAAATAAGTAATTGACTTTAAATACGAATACTTTGAGAACTTTGAAAGCTCGTATCTGACTCATTTACCAGAACTTACATGTAAGTGTCACTTTTTAAAGAACTCGCAAATTCGGAGACCACCCTCGCAAATTCTCGCAAATCAAAACGAAGCTTTGGACACCGGTTTGGTGAAAATCGGGTGAAGTGGGTGGGCCAACTTCAGAACTTTGAAAGCTCGTATCTCAGCTTTGGGCCACTCGCAAATTCGGGGACCGCCCTCGCAAATTCTCGCAAATCAAAACGAAGCTTTGGACACCGGTTTGGTGAAAATCGGGTGAAGTGGGTGGGCCAACTTCAGAACTTTGAAAGCTCGTATCTCAGATTTGGGCCACTCGCAAATTCGGGGACCGCCCTCGCAAATTCTCGCAAATCAAAACGAAGCTTTGGACACCGGTTTGGTGAAAATCGGGTGAAGTGGGTGGGCCAACTTCAGAACTTTGAAAGCTCGTATCTCAGCTTTGGGCCACTCGCAAATTCGGGGACCGCCCTCGCAAATTCTCGCAAATCAAAACGAAGCTTTGGACACCGGTTTGGTGAAAATCGGGTGAAGTGGGTGGGCCAACTTCAGAACTTTGAAAGCTCGTATCTCAGCTTTGGGCCACTCGCAAATTCGGGGACCGCCCTCGCAAATTCTCGCAAATCAAAACGAAGCTTTGGACACCGGTTTGGTGAAAATCGGGTGAAGTGGGTGGGCTACATGAAGTTGGCCCACTCGCCATTGAGATGTGTAAAAGTGACTCGCAAATTCTAGGAGTATACTCGCAAATTCTCGCAAATTACTCGCAAAATTTTAATACCATTTTCAGATTGATATTAATATGACGGTGGGCCAAGTTCATGGACGTAGTTTTAGGTGTGCAAAAGAATATAATAATGGAATTTTAGTAAATGATATTTCAGACCCTCAATATAAAGAAGTAATTTTTACTAATTTTAAACTTGGTTTAAATCTACAAGATTCTTGTTGTAGATTAAAATCCAACTCTGTTATTGAAATTGTAAATTTTGCATATTGTCATAAATTGAAAGAAGTGGTTGTTATTGGTCATATATACAATAATGTGTATGACTTTTATACAAAACCTTTGTTTTCTTCAATAATTGGAATCAATGTTGTTGGTAGTTTAAATGAAAGTTATTCATATTGGCCTTTATTAAAAGTGCATCAAAAATTAATTCGTTTGCCATATAAAACTGAATTTTTAGTAATTCCATTGCTACACACATCTGAAATGCTATAATAATATTTGAAATGCAATTGCAAAATTAATTTTATACACTTGTAAATATTGTAAAGAATTATAAAAATTTTAATAGGCGTTTTACCATTTTAGATTCTGAGTGAAACGATGAATGTATTGATTTTACAATGATGTGTGTTTTTTTTTTTGTGTCTGTGTACACGATAAGTAGTCGAAATAATGCTTCGATTTTCAACTTCAGTATCTTGTTCGATTGGAGAGTGAATATCGTTGGTGCATTGGGGAGGTCAAAATTTAAAATTCCCAATAGTTTTCACAAGCGCCGGGAAAAACAACATAAAAATGAAGGAAAAACGGGAATTTTTACGCAAAATCGGTTTTTGACAAAATTTAATTTGGTTTTTGGTGTAACTTTAAAACAAATGACCGTAGATACATGAAATTTTCACTGGTTGTTTATATTTGCATCTTCTATACACGATAACATTTTCAAAATATTTTGATTTATTTTGAACAGTTTAGGGACATTTTAATTTTTCATTTTTTTTTAGTTTTTTTTCTAGAAATATCAATAAAATTTTATTTGTTGAGTAGAAATACTTGAAAATTTAATACAAGGTTCCTACTGTATTGTTTCAAAGGCAGATGAAAAATATTAAAAATCGTTAGTCACAGTTTTTTTTTATAAGTATTTAAAGTTCAAAAATTGACAAATCACGAAAATTAGCAAATTATTTTGAGTTAAGAATTCGTAAAAATTTTTCTGGAAATAGATGGAGACATAGTTGAAGAGGGAACAAAAAGCAATATATATAACAACAATTACCATAATCAAGACTCATTTGTTAACAATACCAATTCACTGATAGAACAACCAGACAATTTAAGTCAGTGTTGTGATCTTATATAATCTAACCAATATTTTATTGTGTTATAATATTTAAAATATGATATTCTAAATATAAATTTAATATATCATATATATATATTATATATTGTACAATTTTAGCAGGTACTTTCTGAGTTACTGTGTATCTAAATTTTAAAACAACTGTTCATGTATATTATATTTAGAACTCATTAAATATGAGTAGGTAACAGATTGAATATATTATTAAATATTTGTAAGTACATACTATTAAATTGTAATGTGTTCCAAAAGTTAAGATTAAAATCATTGGTTGTAAAGACGTGATCAGAGTGTTACTCTGCCATACACTATGATATAAATATGAATTAGAGTAAATTAAATTGTTATGTTATCATTTTTTTCAGCTGTATGTCAGTCAGAAGAGAATGAAGACTTATTATTGCAAGAATTGCAAGCTGTTCGAATGTTCAAGATGAAAACTCATTGTCTGTACATAATGAATATCCCAGTTCATTATTGGTTGAAAAGAAAGATTGCGATTCAGGTAAACTTGTATAGTTTTTTTTTTTTTTTTAATAATGCCATCAATTAAACTATAATATAACTAAATAAAAATAGTGATTAAATGAAACAAGTTTCGATACTTTATATGAAACTTAAAAATGTAATACAATTTATATTATAGTGAAATAGTATGTGCTATAAATTATAGTTAGGTAATGTTTCACCTATTTAGCATTAAATAGAAGTACAAACGCAAATCATGAGGCAATTAGTTACATTGAATGCCAGGAGTAAGGAGCACAGCGAATATTTGCACACCATATTAATGATTTTGAATGACATTCAAGAAAAACAAAAATCATCGGATAATCAACCTGCAACTCCCTCGTCCATGCTTGAGTTTGAACCGATTTATGAAACGCTTCCAGTAACTAATGAAGAGTCCTTAAATTTATTACAACAGGCTCCTACCAATGATCAGACTATGTTTAACAAAACTGTAAGTATTTGTTAAGTATTAATTATAAACTATAATTTTTAATACTATCTTGTTCATTAAAACATAGGTAAAAATGTTGTCCTTAATTGGAGGAAGTGACATTAAAGAGTCAGTGAGGCGGATATTGAGAAAACTAATATCAAATGATTATGCCAAACAGTTTAGTTATACTGGTCACAAAAGCTCCAAACATGCATTTAACAAAACAATTTTGTCATCACTACTTATAAGTATGTAACTATTTAATTAACTTTTATTATGTACACAGTTTAATATTTCAACAGGGCCACAAAACATTGAAAAATGGAGACATTTATTTACTATTCACCCTATTCAATTGAAAGCTTATACCTATACTATATCTCTTAGATTATAATTATTTTAAAAATACCTACATAGTTTTCTTCAAAATACATTGGTTTCAAAAAATAACTACTCATTATATTATTGTACTAGTTTCAAAGATGAGAAATAATAATAGTTTAGCTTATTTTATCAACCAATAATAAGTTATGATGTACATGGTAATTGGTAAATCTGTGTATCTGTATGTATGTGTGTGTGTGTGTGTGTGTGTGTGTGTGTGTGTGTGTGTGTGTGTGTGTGTGTGTGTGTGTGTGTGTGTGTGTGTGTGTGTGTGTGTGTGTGTTTATTTTGTTGAAATTTTAATATTTTATAATTATTATTATTATACTCCACCTGTCTAAATAAAATAAATGCATATTCAAATGTAATATTAATTTGATGAATGTTAGGTTTTTTTTTGTTAAACTGAAATTGACATATCAAAGATGCGCAGTCGTTCCATAATATAATTTTACACTAAATTCAATTATTTAGTAGGAATAATAAATATACCTACCTAAAAAATCTAAAATTAAATATGAGATAGAATTTATTTTTTAAAAGTACTTATTATTAATATGTACATAATTTTTTATACTATATTATTTCTAAGATATTGTTTAAGTTTTTATATTTAATATTTGAATGCAATTACTAATTTTACTAACCCGCTGATAAATTCAAATTACTTTTAATTAATAAATAAAAAAGTTATTTCTAGTTCTTATTACTAAAAGTCTATTCAAACTAGTAGATTAATAACTAGTCATTTTAATGTATTTGAATAATTCTGTATAATTTTTTAAAATAATAATAAGTTATTGTTATGATAGGTTGAAAATGATTATACATTTATACAAATAAAATATAATGCAAATTTGAGTAATGGTATTATTATCTTTGTTTTATTTTAGAAGCTATACATTCAACTAGCAATTTGGCTGATAAATCAGTCAAAGAAGTAGAAACCATAACAAGCATTTGGCTGAGCAATGCCAGCGAAAGGGCAAAAAATAATAACTAGGTTTAATGTATTTAATATTAGTAGGATATAATAGCCGATTCGAACACACAGACCCTGCAGACCCTTCAGACCCTGCGGACCCTGCAGACCCTTCAGACCCTGCGGACCCTGCAGACCCTGCGGACCCCTGCAGACCACCGGCGGCACCTCGTTCACGTGTGCGACATGTATTTTCCCCACCACCCTTTTCCCTGCCAACATGGACTGCCGCCGCACTATTTACGCACGCGCATACATTCGTCGATTCACCTGCCCGCTACGTAACCGGTGTATTTTATTAACGCATGCGCACAACAAATCTACCCCACCTGGCTATGTATAAAGGCTTCGCACTAGCCGCCGAGCATTCAGTATACGTCCGGCCTTATACGATACTTCACTCGTTGTCATACCTGGTGTTTTATCGTTCTTTTTACATTTTTAACGTTATTTTATAAATTGTCAGTTATATTTTATAACAAGTGCGTATTTAACATGGCTGGTTCAATCGCTGATAACTTAGCTTTATACAAGAAGACCTTCAACTATGTACCACCAACACCACCAGCCGAACTTCTTGAAGCAACCAATTTCACGCTGGACTTTGTGAGTCGTAAATTTATTCAAATTGGGATTGACCCCACAAATAATTTCAAAGTCGTGTTGCTTATAATAACGCCATCCCGTTATGTTAGAATTTTTCCGGACACGTTAAAGCAAATATTGAATTTTATGGGTCAAATCCTTTCGTTCATATTAGAGCAACCGCAAAGGTACAAGAGAGTTACATTTTTCGAAACTGATACATTTAAACTATCTAGTATGGTGTATAGTGGCGAAAATGTGTTAGTGATCGAATCGAAAAATGTAGAAGGATGCCGAGTTCTTCTAAATCGAACAGATCTTCTTCAACTACAACGTTTAGAATATGCTATTTTTGAAGCAATCGTATGAAAAGATGTATTTACAGTCCCATTACTTTTAAAACAAATTGATCAGTTTGGTGAGTACCTTGAAGAGATATGTTCTAGAGAAAAATCGCCACCGAAAAATATTGAAGAAAGGAAATTGTACATTAAGAATATACAACTCGATCGGGATGATAGGATAGTGCAATCTGCTCCAAATCTTACCAAACAAATCCAGATATATGCTGTTACACAGTTGGCTGAAAATTGGGAAAATCGGAAGGCGCAAAAATCACAAGAGGTAATTAAAAAAAAAAAAAAAAAACATATTATATTCACAGAAATATTTAATAAAAATATTTTTTTATTTTAGTCATGTTATGTTGATCCGAAAATTCTGTCACCCAGCTGCCCACCAAAATCCATGATCTCCAGCTTACAGGACGATACCTGTACAATACGTGACGCATTTGATAAGCCGGAGTACCAAATTCTAGCTAATGTAATAAATAAAATAATTTTTAACTAAAAAAAATATTTATGTTATATTTAATTAATTTTCCAGCCGCTAGATCATATTGACGGTCCGCAATCACCCTCATTTCCACGGATCAACATAAGAGACGGGTTTGATTTATTCAATCGATTTGATTCACCAACCTCAGCTCGCGTAAATCACCCCACTGCAGCACCATTACGTGGAGTGAAGCGTCGACTACCACAATCACCCGCAAGTCCACCACCATTTGACGTAAATGACGGCCCGGATTACTTCAATCCGATTGGTACGTCAACACCATACTTCAATCCAACTTGCACGTCAACACCATGTCAACCAACATTCGCCCAATACCCAGCATCAGTACGCGATGTTAGACGAAGTTTATTTTAATATTTGTTTTAATATTTATTTTAATAATTTATGTGAAATAAAAAACAAGCGTGATATTTAAAACAAGTTTTTTTATTTATTAGAAAATAAGGAAATAATTATAAGGTACAAAAAAAAATTACAAGGTATAAAATATTTACAATTTTCTAACGTCGCCACTAAACGGATTATAAGTTACAATCTGGTCATGTAGTATTAAACAATAAGCTGCAGTCTTGTCTGGAATAATTGTATCCATTTCAAATTCATTCGTAGGTCTACGGTTGATAATTTAACGTTGTCGTTCTGGTATGACAAATCAACAACTATGATTGGAACAAAATTCTGAAAAATATGTTTTGATAATAATGGTTCGCTGTAGTCTCTCCCGTAATACGATTTTTGAAAGTCTGTATAGGCCCTATACAGTATACTAGTGGTATTTTTTTTTAAATCAGCGCGAAAGTCTTCATATGGGTACACTTCAGAGTTTAAGTGAACCTTAAGATTTTTAAGTTGACAGTGATCGAATCGTCCAGCATCGTTTTCAATATTTTTTTTTCGATCTGTAATATTGTTTTACAGTCTTCACAGAATCCGAATAAATGTTTTAGAGGGATACACCCGGTAAATACATTGTCAGTCATAAAATTTTTATTATCTTCACTATCCATGGCTGAGTCCCAAGCAGCGCTCTCTAGAGTATTCAAATCGTTTGGAGAATACGAGCAGTATGCTTTCAAACAAGAGGAAATTCCCGGTGATTTTAATTTTTGTATTTCTACACCGTTTATTTCATATCGCATTTCGGAGAATAAAAATGCCAATCCGTTATTTGAAAAATGAACATCTCCAACAGCATCAGCGGGTTTATTTACTTTCCCCTCGATGTAAATATAACTTTCACACGGTAAAGTGTACGAATCCATATTTAAAATACTTATTCTTATTTCATCATTATTTGATAAAGACATGTTTGAGTACGGAGTGAACGAATGATAATTCATCTGCGTTATTTTACACTCATCGACATGGTAGGCCGTAACGTTTAAATACGTGTCATCCATAATTATACTTGCAGCGATCGGAGAAAATTTAAATTATTTTTAGTGAGCTTGGACTTGTTTTTTTTCGGTTTAGAAATAGTTTTTTCCGATTTTGACATAGATGTTGACTTCTTAACGGCAGGCGGTAAACTGACAGGTTTTTTGACTGTAGCTCTTTTTATATTAATGTTAAATTTGAGCGCCATATCCACGCGTGATTTGTAGACGGACTGTTATTGGTTCACCACGAAGATTAATTAGACAATCGTTTTGATCTTTTAGTACGACAATTACTCTACTTATAGATCTCGTGTTGAGACCATAAAAAACTGGGTGTCTAGGTACCTCAACGATTTTATACACAGCAGGTACTGTGGGATAAAGCTCGTGTATAGTCTGGCTCGGTGCTCCGTCACAGTATGAGCCGGTGATTAAATTACACTCTACTTTTATACAGTTTATTTTCATTATGTTGACAATATTTTCAGATTCATGAGTAGCACCAGTAGTGTATAGTACATTTCTAAAACCTAACAATTTCGCTATGCTATTCTCGACTCCTAAATCAACATCATGGCTGCACGATATCATACACTTTAATGTTCTGCTGTTTGCTTTTAATTCAAACATACTGACATAGCCGGCATAATTTGTTGTATAATAGACTCTAACTGATTCAACTCATCGGGGTCGATGATCGCCCACCTTGTCGTGGTGACCCCGCCCGACCGGGCTTACGCCCGGCGCTAAGAGGCGTTCAAAACTGTCCGGAGTAGGCCGACTCCGGACTTCTAACCCTTGGCATGGATAATGCAACCGCCGATCTAGCCCGCCGGCGGCCAGAGGGTGTAGGGCTACACGGGGCAACCCCCCGAAACCTTAACAACTATGGATACACAACAAAACGAAAAAGATGTTACTGATACAAAGGCCCAGGAAACCTTAGATCCGGCAGGTGTGGGTGAGCTCGCCACACAGGTCGTTATCAATAGCTCGGATAATGCGCAAACGAATACGGAAATGGCATACTTGGATTATAAAGGAAAAACGGACATGAATAACGGACATTGCTACTCTGACCCACTCAGACTTAGGGGAGGTGGCGACGAAGACGACGATAACGAAAACGTCGTCGACATGACAGATGCCGAAGGCAACAGTGGTGACATGGTCCCGGCAGGTGGCAGCCAGAAGCGCGGCCCGCCATCGCCGGTTGCGCAAAGCTCAAAGCAACCAAGAACGGTAGGCAGGGTAACGGACCATAGAGAACTTAACGACCTCTTAGGATGGCTCGAACAGACGGTCATACAAGAGAAATCGAAGAAGTTGGGAGTCCAGGTCTCGGAGAAAATGTTGAGCAAGCTGGCAAGGCTCAGAGTTGTCACGACCGGCCTCATGCACGATAATAGCAAATTACAAGGGGAAATCAAGGGTAAAGAGGATACCCAGAGGATGAGCCTCACGTGCTTTACCGACAAGCTCGATGCAAAGAACGCGGAAGCTAACAGCCTGAAGGCGGAGCTGGATACGCTAAGAAAGGCAGGGCCGGCGCCTAGCAAAGAACCCGTCCCTAGGCCCACATATGCCGATAGAGTTGCGAGCGCACGTAAAGCCACGGTCGCTACCGCACCCAAGACCATAAAGGCAAAAGAGAAAGAGCAACTAAAGAAAAGCAGGCAGGTCAAAGCAACGTCGCGCTTCATGGTAGAAATACCAAAGGACATGACCGTGGCAACTGCGAAAGCAGGATTGTGGGAAACAGTCAGGACTAAAATTAAAAACCCTAGGGCGAAGACCATCGTAAGTGGAAAGTCCTTGATCATTATACCGGATGACGCTAACACGTTGGAGGTGATGAAGGACCTCAAACAAGCAATAGAAATCAGTCCGAGGAAGCCGCGGCTCATACTATATGACGTAGAAAGCGGGATAACAGGCGAAGAGTTAGCCGAGTGTCTCCTGGGTCAAAACCCTGAACTTGGACTCACTGCTGAAGACGTGGGGTGCATGACACCTTTGCACAAACTGGGACCCCGAGACGGTCATGTTGTCCATTGGGTGATCGAAGCACCAGCAAACGTTGTGTCGAAATTGGAAAATAGGTCCATATATATAGGAATGACCCGCTGTCGGTGTAAGGTACACAGCTCTACCCCGCAGTGCTATAATTGTCAGCAATATGGCCATACGTCGCTGAGGTGCGAACAGAAGGAACCCACATGCAGACACTGTGCAGGCGCTCATGACTCCCGCGAGTGCAAAAACGAAGTGGTGAAGTGCGCGAATTGCAAAGGGCCGCACAAAGCGTCGAGTGCGACATGCAGGGCCAAGACGCAGGCTACACGAAGCCTTTTAAGGCGTACGGACTTCGGCTCGAAATGACCGAGTCCATAAAGTTTGTCCAGCACAACGTCAACAGACAAAAATTAGCGAGCCAGCAGTTACGGGACTACTGCGACAGAACACTAACTGACATTGTACTAATACAGGAACCCGTCATGATAAACGGAACAATTTATGGTTTCGAGAACTGCAGGCAGGCAGCGAGCAGTGACAACCCAGGCGCGGTGATAGTGATCCTCGAACCCAGGCTGCGGGTGATCGAAATGGCAGGCTTGTCCAGTCAGCATGTAGTTGCGGTGAAAATCACGAGAGGCAGTGATACGGATGCAGTCACGGTGGTGTCGGCATATTTTAAGTACAACATGCCGACCCACAACTTTATTGCTAAACTAAGGACAATACTCGAACGTGAAAACAGGACCATAATCGGAGCCGATGTTAATGGTCATTCACCGCTCTGGCACTGTAACGACACGAACGACCGCGGAAGTCAGACGGTTGACCTGATTGAGGAATTTAATCTCACAATCATCAACCAAGAAAGCGAGATAACAACGTACAACCGAGATGGCATGGGCTCGTCGAATATTGATGTAACCATGGCGACACCGCGTACCGCGAGCATGGTGCGGGACTGGTCAGTTACTGACGAAACCGACAGTGACCACAACGTATTGTCATTCTATGTCGACCTAAGGACGGACAGATCGCCGAGGGTGGTTTCACACCGGTACAACACCAAGCGGGCGGAGTGGGCCAAATTCGCCTCATGCCTGTGTAATCAAAGGGCCATAATCGACAGATCGAATGTAGATACTTACGCTCGGACATTAGTATGCGCAATACAAAACGCAGCCGCGGGTTCAACGCCGAAAGCGGGCGCAGCAGACCGGAGAGCGGGCAAACAATCCTGGTGGACGGCTGAACTTTCCACCGCCAAAAAAGCCTTGGACCGCATGAGGAGATTGGGCCTCCAGAGAACGGATAGACCGTCTTACAACCAAGCACGTAACTCATACGTAGCTCACATCCGATCAGCTAAGCTCGCAGCGTGGCGCTGTTTCGCTGGAGATATTAACGCAAACACGTGGGGTAAAGCATTCAGCTGGGCAAAGTGCGGTTGTAGGTCGAGGAAGGTACCCTCCACCATGACTTGCCCAGACGGATCAATGACCGAAACACTAGACGAGACGGCACAGGTACTCTTAGGGTCTTTCTTCCCTAGGGAAGGGCAGAAAAGAGACCTCATAAGAAGCGGGCCTTTAGATAACTATGGAGGCACGGTGGACGCTGAAAGAGTCAGAGCGGCGATCTGGAGGATGCGTCCAGGCAAAGCGCCCGGAGCCGATGGTATCACGGCTGGTTTGCTGAGGAAAGCATGGCCGATCCTAGGTGAGGTGGTACGCCTCTTCAGAACATGCATAATTGAAGCCACTTTCCCGCAATCATGGAAGTGCGCCAACTTGGTCGTACTGCTTAAACAAGGGAAAAAGGACGCTACGAATCCAAAGTCATACAGACCAATAAGCTTGTTGCCTACAATGGCAAAAGCACTCGAAACCCTTATCATTCAGGACTTGGAAACGGAAACCGAGTTAAATAGTTATGGCCAACAACACGGGTTTGTGCCAGGCAGGTCGACCATCACGGCAATGAAGTCCCTGTATGATTGGATACATGGTAGCAACAGCAGGCACGTGTTCGGAGTGTTTCTGGACATCACCGGGGCCTTCGACAACGTCGGTTGGTTCCCGCTAATGTCCAGACTTGACGTGCTCGGCGCCTCGATCAGAACAATGAGACTAATCCAGAGCTACCTCGTCAATAGGTCAGCGAGCATCGTGATAGAGGGCAAACGATACCAGCGAATAATAGAGAGCGGATGCCCACAAGGGTCCCAGCTTGGTCCCACATTGTGGAAGGTTGCCATGACGGAGATTGGCAACATGCAACTGGACAACACAGCCAACATGGTGCTGTACGCAGATGACATAGCGCTCACGGTGGCAGCGGCGAGGCCCCAAACCGCACACGGTAGAATCGAAAGATACCTCGATGGCCTCAAAGCGTGGGCTAAGGCATACGAGCTGGAATTCTCGCCAACAAAAAGCCAGTTACTCAGCCTGAAAGGTGGACTAAAGCCCGGCTACTCGGTCGGCTTTGGCTCAGGAGAAAATGACGCCAGGATAGTGGCTGGAGCGACAGCGAAGTACTTGGGCGTCATCCTTGACCCCAGGGAGAGCTTCTGGGACCATGTGTCGTCCCTCAAGAAAAAATCAGACGGCATGTACCGTAGATTAAGACAAATGACTTCGGCAAACTGGGGCATGGGCCGAGCGGCGGCCAAAGCTATCTACGAGGCGGTGTTCCTCCCTCGTGTTACGTACGCAGCAGAAATCTGGGCCGAAGGAGCTTGCACTCTTAAGAAAAGCATAGCAGCTCTCGGGAGCATGCAGAGGGAACCACTCAGGGCAATAACGAGCAGCTACAAAACAGCGTCAACTAACTGCCTCTCGGTCGTGGCGGGCGTACTCCCGCTCGACCTTGAGGTCAGGAGGGTGGCGCTGAAATGTAAGCTAAGAACCGGTGGAATGACCAACGATGAATATGAGATGGGACTCAGTGCACTCATGGAGGAGTGGCAGGTCCGGTACGATTCAGTCGATAAGGGAGATTGGACCAAATTCATGATCCCGGACGTCGCCAGACGATGCGAGCTACCATTGGTGTTGGATCATTATACAACGCAATTCCTTACTGGGCATGGAGACTTTCGAAGCAAGCTCTACAGTTTCAAGCTTCAACCCAGCCCAAATTGTGCTTGCGGCAATGGGGCAGAGACGGTAAGACATGTACTCTTAGCTTGCACAAGGACGCAAGAGTTCCGCGAAGAGCTGATAACCGTAATGATAGAAGAAGGGGTGGCTTGGCCCCCGGAAAGAGGAGCCTTCCTCAGTACAAGAAGGACATATGAAGCATTAAGAAAGTTCAGTGAAAGAAGCCTAAAGAACAGAACTGATAGGTAGGACCTATAGAGGTCAGGACGCAGCCACACCAGGTGGTGTAGTGCATAGTCTCGGGGTGTCCCGAATGAGCACGCATGGTGTAAGCGGCACAAGCGGCGGGGCACGCTCGAGCGCGTCCTGACCAGGGGCGTGCTCATGCGCCTGGGGCGAGGAGTTCGTCCCTGTTGCTGGGGCCGTCCAGAATTCAGCACCAGTATTCCCTGCTTGTCGTAAGAGGCGACTGAAAGGGAAATGGCCAGTCGGGGCCGGCGTCCGGGACGCGGACACACCGAAACCTCCGGGGACTAGGGTGTTGGAGGTTTTGACTGCGACCTCGTGAAGAGCGAGTCGATCACCTCGGTGATGCCTCTGGGAGGCGTGGCAAAGGCTACCGAGCCTTGAACTTGGGGGTCGCGGCCACCGCGCCAGGGCGACCGCCGCTGGTAAGGGCCCACCGTGAGCCCGTGATACACGATCCTAATCTTGGTAGGACCACAGCTGAGACTCCGGTCGACGAAGCTCGGCCCGAACATCCAACCACTGATGTGCTTTCCTAACGGGAGCGAAAATGGTACTTCGGGATGTGGGGGGGCCCCGCGGCGTCGAGTTGATTGACGACGTGCCCTCACACGGCGGTCGCGCCCAGCCTCGGTTGCGGCGCGGTCGACGGCGGTTTGGTTTCGGAGTGGCTGTTAGCAGGAGCTAACCCTATGGTTAAAAGACCAAATGCTCGGTCTAGGGGAAGGTTGCCGATTGAGAAACTCCTTAGCGCTCACCCAGCCTACCGGTGGGGCTATATGCACCGGAGGTTGCCCGTAACCAAAAACGGGAAGCAATGAGGATAGCTTGCGACCCGACCTGGGTGGCGAAGGGTACGTGCATGCCTCAGCCAACGGTACGGGCGCACTCTCTCCCGACTTCGTTGGGAACGGGTGTGCGCACGGTGCTCGTGGTCCATAGACGACGCGCGGGCGGTGGTTGGTGGCAACGCCACCGTACGCCGACCGTGAACCTCCGCGGCTCTCGACTAGCGCACAGCGCTAATGTGAGGTCCGCGGTTGTAGCCGCAAGGCATCAAACCCGGGAGTCTTCGTGATTCAACTCATATGTTCCTGTAGGTATAATTACGTACTCATTTTCATTGATAAAATTACGGAAGGCAATAGTATTGCAGCCAGGTTCTATGTTTGGTATCGAATTATTTGTCTGTAAACTCGAAAGACATATTTGAGCTGTGTTATCAACCTCTAAAGGTGGAAAAATATCACATGCCAATTCACTAGAGTTCCCGTTTAATGTTATCGTGTACATGATAAAAATTTTAAACACAAATGTCCGCAGTTTGTGGTATTATAATTTTGCTCTCTGATGTAATTGAAATGTATGTCACATCCGTGAAAATATTGTTGTACTTCAAGTGGGGGTGGTAAATTTCCAAAACTGTCGTAATATTTAACTTGATTTCCGATTTTTTTATACGCTACCCAATGCGTTCCTGTACCGTTTTCCGTGTCCAAGTTAATAATCGCTGATTCTTGGCGTTTAGGACGGGAAGATAACCTATCTCTCGTAAATACGCCGATGAAATGAGGTATTTTCATTAAACGAGCGATTTTTATAAGTTCGAAATCGTACAACGCTCTACTGGGTAACGTAAATATTAGTTTTTTTAGCTTTGACACCCCCACCACTTTTAAATGGTGCAAGATATAAACCGGAACCGATTTTGTATGAGTTGCCTTTATACGGCGTTAGATATAAACCTTTACCCAGATGCAATGGTGTATTTCTATTAAATTCATTTGTCATTTTCACAACGTTGGCAACACCACCAGTTAAGGCTCCCAGAGCTGACAGACCGACGAAAATCGGTATGAGTGGTAACAAGCCGCCTTTCGTTATTGTTCGTGGAACTTTTGACTTATTAATTTTAAATGTTTTTCGTGCGACCGCTACACATTTTTTAGTTAATTTCATCAAGTTTTTTTCACCGATATTTTTCTTTAAAACGTTTTTACTAGCTTTAAGTGCCGCTTTAAACCCACAACCTCCGCCTATTTTACGTTTAGTTTTCATGGCGGTTGTTACACCCCAAGCCACAGCTTTTTCTTTTAAACTAGAATCTTTTGACTTGAACCTATCCCAGACTCGCTGCTCTAATATATAATCGGCTTTGTTACGATCCGCGATAGAGTTACTATTTTCGTATGCAATGTCGTGTTCTTTACAAGCAGAGTCCAGAAGGTTTATACCTTCATCACCACGAGCTAATCGTTTTTTTAAATTTGTACCAGGTCCACAGTATTGATAACCTAAAATATAAAATTATTATTGTATATGATATTATAAGGTTTATATATATATAATACCAGGTACGTGAAGCTCGATTGGTAATTTGTTTATGAGAGTGTTGATAAGTCCGCTGCCCTTATTCGTGTTCCTGCTTCGATCGAGTGACATTGTGTACTGTTTGGTTTATCATCGTTGCACAGTTATTTATATAAAAAATGAAGTTCATCAAACAAAAAATAAAACTATCAGTTGAAAACGTGGACCCGCCTACATCGGATCAAAAACACAGACATGGAGCGCTTCTACCAAATACGATACGCGCGCTTATCGTAGGTCCTTCTGGCTGCGGAAAAACAAATTTAATTTACACATTATTAACCAATATAAACGTTATACGATTTCACAACGTATACATATATTCGAAAACATTGGATCAGCCTAAATATAAAATGCTTAGCGATATATTATCAGACATTGATGGAATACAATTATTCACGTTCTACGAAAATGAAAAAGTTATAGCACCCGAAGAAGCTTTGCCAAACTCTGTATTTATTTTTGACGATATTATTTCTGAAAACCAGAATATTGCAAGAACTTACTTTTCCAGAGCTAGGCATAATTTAATAGACGTTTTCTACCTGGCTCAGAGTTATTCAAAAGTGCCAAAACAACTTTTGCGTGATAACGCTAATTTTATTGTATTATTTAAACAAGACGAAACTAATTTAAAACATGTATACAATGAGTATTGCTCTGGTGATATGTCATATTCAGAGTTTAAAGACTTTAGTACATCGTGTTGGAGTCGGGGGAGATTCGAGTTTATCGTAATAAACAAAGACTGTGAACGTGACAACGGTCGATATCGCCTCGGATTTGACACATTCGTCGTTATATAAAGTGTTGTTTTTTATGAAAATACCACATTCACAGACATGGCTTCTGACGGTGAGGTACTCGGAGAATTGATTAAAGCCAAAGTAAATATTAAACGCAAGTATGAAGCATTAAAACACGGAAAAGCTGATATTCACTCAATAGTATCAGAAACGTTTAGTCCGATTATAGAACCATTGAACAAGATAACACATTTAAATCCTGAGACATTTCAAACCCCACCCACGGAAGTTGAAAAACGCTCTCAAGATTCTCAACATTTTGAAAAAAAAGACACACACGAATCGCTAGCTTTTAAAATAAACGACTGGTTTAAGTCTTACGATATAGACATATATAGATATGGATACACGATATAGATATGGGCCTAAAATACGACAGGACGGAAGTCTACATTTGGGTAAAAAAGAAATTAATCTTGTCGACAAAAAGTTTATTATTGAAGATACTTCCTACCCGCTAACACAAGGACTTGGTAATTTAGTATTTTCGAAATCTCCAAAATTCTACACCAAACACGATTTAGAAGCATACAAATCTATATTAATTCAAACATCAGCGCACCTAAAAGCAGGTGGGGGAGAAATTAAAAAAGGTGGAAATAAATTCATTGATATAATCACACCATTATTTCCGCCTTCAGGTAGCGGGTTATCTATGAAATTACAAAAACATTTTTAGTGTACTGGAATGATCCTAATGAGTTAGTCGATAGATTGCGGCTACTATTAGCGTCAAAAGCGGCTGGTAATACAGGGCTTTCCAACGAAATACTATCAATTTACGAAGAATTGTATGAAGCGGGGATAATAAAACGTATTCCAAATGTCTAAACGCGAAATTGCAAACGAACTACACAAACCTGCTAGAAAAAATTATACAAGACGTAGAGTTAATGTTTATGGCAAAAACGATCTATGGCAGGCCGACTTGGTCGAAATGATACCATATTCAAAACAAAACAAGGGTTACAAGTATATTTTGTATATCTATCTGGGCCGAAGGAGCTTGCACTCTTAAGAAAAGCATAGCAGCTCTCGGGAGCATGCAGAGGGAACCACTCAGGGCAATAACGAGCAGCTACAAAACAGCGTCAACTAACTGCCTCTCGGTCGTGGCGGGCGTACTCCCGCTCGACCTTGAGGTCAGGAGGGTGGCGCTGAAATGTAAGCTAAGAACCGGTGGAATGACCAACGATGAATATGAGATGGGACTCAGTGCACTCATGGAGGAGTGGCAGGTCCGGTACGATTCAGTCGATAAGGGAGATTGGACCAAATTCATGATCCCGGACGTCGCCAGACGATGCGAGCTACCATTGGTGTTGGATCATTATACAACGCAATTCCTTACTGGGCATGGAGACTTTCGAAGCAAGCTCTACAGTTTCAAGCTTCAACCCAGCCCAAATTGTGCTTGCGGCAATGGGGCAGAGACGGTAAGACATGTACTCTTAGCTTGCACAAGGACGCAAGAGTTCCGCGAAGAGCTGATAACCGTAATGATAGAAGAAGGGGTGGCTTGGCCCCCGGAAAGAGGAGCCTTCCTCAGTACAAGAAGGACATATGAAGCATTAAGAAAGTTCAGTGAAAGAAGCCTAAAGAACAGAACTGATAGGTAGGACCTATAGAGGTCAGGACGCAGCCACACCAGGTGGTGTAGTGCATAGTCTCGGGGTGTCCCGAATGAGCACGCATGGTGTAAGCGGCACAAGCGGCGGGGCACGCTCGAGCGCGTCCTGACCAGGGGCGTGCTCATGCGCCTGGGGCGAGGAGTTCGTCCCTGTTGCTGGGGCCGTCCAGAATTCAGCACCAGTATTCCCTGCTTGTCGTAAGAGGCGACTGAAAGGGAAATGGCCAGTCGGGGCCGGCGTCCGGGACGCGGACACACCGAAACCTCCGGGGACTAGGGTGTTGGAGGTTTTGACTGCGACCTCGTGAAGAGCGAGTCGATCACCTCGGTGATGCCTCTGGGAGGCGTGGCAAAGGCTACCGAGCCTTGAACTTGGGGGTCGCGGCCACCGCGCCAGGGCGACCGCCGCTGGTAAGGGCCCACCGTGAGCCCGTGATACACGATCCTAATCTTGGTAGGACCACAGCTGAGACTCCGGTCGACGAAGCTCGGCCCGAACATCCAACCACTGATGTGCTTTCCTAACGGGAGCGAAAATGGTACTTCGGGATGTGGGGGGGCCCCGCGGCGTCGAGTTGATTGACGACGTGCCCTCACACGGCGGTCGCGCCCAGCCTCGGTTGCGGCGCGGTCGACGGCGGTTTGGTTTCGGAGTGGCTGTTAGCAGGAGCTAACCCTATGGTTAAAAGACCAAATGCTCGGTCTAGGGGAAGGTTGCCGATTGAGAAACTCCTTAGCGCTCACCCAGCCTACCGGTGGGGCTATATGCACCGGAGGTTGCCCGTAACCAAAAACGGGAAGCAATGAGGATAGCTTGCGACCCGACCTGGGTGGCGAAGGGTACGTGCATGCCTCAGCCAACGGTACGGGCGCACTCTCTCCCGACTTCGTTGGGAACGGGTGTGCGCACGGTGCTCGTGGTCCATAGACGACGCGCGGGCGGTGGTTGGTGGCAACGCCACCGTACGCCGACCGTGAACCTCCGCGGCTCTCGACTAGCGCACAGCGCTAATGTGAGGTCCGCGGTTGTAGCCGCAAGGCATCAAACCCGGGAGTCTTCGTGATTCAACTCATATGTTCCTGTAGGTATAATTACGTACTCATTTTCATTGATAAAATTACGGAAGGCAATAGTATTGCAGCCAGGTTCTATGTTTGGTATCGAATTATTTGTCTGTAAACTCGAAAGACATATTTGAGCTGTGTTATCAACCTCTAAAGGTGGAAAAATATCACATGCCAATTCACTAGAGTTCCCGTTTAATGTTATCGTGTACATGATAAAAATTTTAAACACAAATGTCCGCAGTTTGTGGTATTATAATTTTGCTCTCTGATGTAATTGAAATGTATGTCACATCCGTGAAAATATTGTTGTACTTCAAGTGGGGGTGGTAAATTTCCAAAACTGTCGTAATATTTAACTTGATTTCCGATTTTTTTATACGCTACCCAATGCGTTCCTGTACCGTTTTCCGTGTCCAAGTTAATAATCGCTGATTCTTGGCGTTTAGGACGGGAAGATAACCTATCTCTCGTAAATACGCCGATGAAATGAGGTATTTTCATTAAACGAGCGATTTTTATAAGTTCGAAATCGTACAACGCTCTACTGGGTAACGTAAATATTAGTTTTTTTAGCTTTGACACCCCCACCACTTTTAAATGGTGCAAGATATAAACCGGAACCGATTTTGTATGAGTTGCCTTTATACGGCGTTAGATATAAACCTTTACCCAGATGCAATGGTGTATTTCTATTAAATTCATTTGTCATTTTCACAACGTTGGCAACACCACCAGTTAAGGCTCCCAGAGCTGACAGACCGACGAAAATCGGTATGAGTGGTAACAAGCCGCCTTTCGTTATTGTTCGTGGAACTTTTGACTTATTAATTTTAAATGTTTTTCGTGCGACCGCTACACATTTTTTAGTTAATTTCATCAAGTTTTTTTCACCGATATTTTTCTTTAAAACGTTTTTACTAGCTTTAAGTGCCGCTTTAAACCCACAACCTCCGCCTATTTTACGTTTAGTTTTCATGGCGGTTGTTACACCCCAAGCCACAGCTTTTTCTTTTAAACTAGAATCTTTTGACTTGAACCTATCCCAGACTCGCTGCTCTAATATATAATCGGCTTTGTTACGATCCGCGATAGAGTTACTATTTTCGTATGCAATGTCGTGTTCTTTACAAGCAGAGTCCAGAAGGTTTATACCTTCATCACCACGAGCTAATCGTTTTTTTAAATTTGTACCAGGTCCACAGTATTGATAACCTAAAATATAAAATTATTATTGTATATGATATTATAAGGTTTATATATATATAATACCAGGTACGTGAAGCTCGATTGGTAATTTGTTTATGAGAGTGTTGATAAGTCCGCTGCCCTTATTCGTGTTCCTGCTTCGATCGAGTGACATTGTGTACTGTTTGGTTTATCATCGTTGCACAGTTATTTATATAAAAAATGAAGTTCATCAAACCAAAAATAAAACTATCAGTTGAAAACGTGGACCCGCCTACATCGGATCAAAAACACAGACATGGAGCGCTTCTACCAAATACGATACGCGCGCTTATCGTAGGTCCTTCTGGCTGCGGAAAAACAAATTTAATTTACACATTATTAACCAATATAAACGTTATACGATTTCACAACGTATACATATATTCGAAAACATTGGATCAGCCTAAATATAAAATGCTTAGCGATATATTATCAGACATTGATGGAATACAATTATTCACGTTCTACGAAAATGAAAAAGTTATAGCACCCGAAGAAGCTTTGCCAAACTCTGTATTTATTTTTGACGATATTATTTCTGAAAACCAGAATATTGCAAGAACTTACTTTTCCAGAGCTAGGCATAATTTAATAGACGTTTTCTACCTGGCTCAGAGTTATTCAAAAGTGCCAAAACAACTTTTGCGTGATAACGCTAATTTTATTGTATTATTTAAACAAGACGAAACTAATTTAAAACATGTATACAATGAGTATTGCTCTGGTGATATGTCATATTCAGAGTTTAAAGACTTTAGTACATCGTGTTGGAGTCGGGGGAGATTCGAGTTTATCGTAATAAACAAAGACTGTGAACGTGACAACGGTCGATATCGCCTCGGATTTGACACATTCGTCGTTATATAAAGTGTTGTTTTTTATGAAAATACCACATTCACAGACATGGCTTCTGACGGTGAGGTACTCGGAGAATTGATTAAAGCCAAAGTAAATATTAAACGCAAGTATGAAGCATTAAAACACGGAAAAGCTGATATTCACTCAATAGTATCAGAAACGTTTAGTCCGATTATAGAACCATTGAACAAGATAACACATTTAAATCCTGAGACATTTCAAACCCCACCCACGGAAGTTGAAAAACGCTCTCAAGATTCTCAACATTTTGAAAAAAAAGACACACACGAATCGCTAGCTTTTAAAATAAACGACTGGTTTAAGTCTTACGATATAGACATATATAGATATGGATACACGATATAGATATGGGCCTAAAATACGACAGGACGGAAGTCTACATTTGGGTAAAAAAGAAATTAATCTTGTCGACAAAAAGTTTATTATTGAAGATACTTCCTACCCGCTAACACAAGGACTTGGTAATTTAGTATTTTCGAAATCTCCAAAATTCTACACCAAACACGATTTAGAAGCATACAAATCTATATTAATTCAAACATCAGCGCACCTAAAAGCAGGTGGGGGAGAAATTAAAAAAGGTGGAAATAAATTCATTGATATAATCACACCATTATTTCCGCCTTCAGGTAGCGGGTTATCTATGAAATTACAAAAACATTTTTAGTGTACTGGAATGATCCTAATGAGTTAGTCGATAGATTGCGGCTACTATTAGCGTCAAAAGCGGCTGGTAATACAGGGCTTTCCAACGAAATACTATCAATTTACGAAGAATTGTATGAAGCGGGGATAATAAAACGTATTCCAAATGTCTAAACGCGAAATTGCAAACGAACTACACAAACCTGCTAGAAAAAATTATACAAGACGTAGAGTTAATGTTTATGGCAAAAACGATCTATGGCAGGCCGACTTGGTCGAAATGATACCATATTCAAAACAAAACAAGGGTTACAAGTATATTTTGTATATCTATCTGGGCCGAAGGAGCTTGCACTCTTAAGAAAAGCATAGCAGCTCTCGGGAGCATGCAGAGGGAACCACTCAGGGCAATAACGAGCAGCTACAAAACAGCGTCAACTAACTGCCTCTCGGTCGTGGCGGGCGTACTCCCGCTCGACCTTGAGGTCAGGAGGGTGGCGCTGAAATGTAAGCTAAGAACCGGTGGAATGACCAACGATGAATATGAGATGGGACTCAGTGCACTCATGGAGGAGTGGCAGGTCCGGTACGATTCAGTCGATAAGGGAGATTGGACCAAATTCATGATCCCGGACGTCGCCAGACGATGCGAGCTACCATTGGTGTTGGATCATTATACAACGCAATTCCTTACTGGGCATGGAGACTTTCGAAGCAAGCTCTACAGTTTCAAGCTTCAACCCAGCCCAAATTGTGCTTGCGGCAATGGGGCAGAGACGGTAAGACATGTACTCTTAGCTTGCACAAGGACGCAAGAGTTCCGCGAAGAGCTGATAACCGTAATGATAGAAGAAGGGGTGGCTTGGCCCCCGGAAAGAGGAGCCTTCCTCAGTACAAGAAGGACATATGAAGCATTAAGAAAGTTCAGTGAAAGAAGCCTAAAGAACAGAACTGATAGGTAGGACCTATAGAGGTCAGGACGCAGCCACACCAGGTGGTGTAGTGCATAGTCTCGGGGTGTCCCGAATGAGCACGCATGGTGTAAGCGGCACAAGCGGCGGGGCACGCTCGAGCGCGTCCTGACCAGGGGCGTGCTCATGCGCCTGGGGCGAGGAGTTCGTCCCTGTTGCTGGGGCCGTCCAGAATTCAGCACCAGTATTCCCTGCTTGTCGTAAGAGGCGACTGAAAGGGAAATGGCCAGTCGGGGCCGGCGTCCGGGACGCGGACACACCGAAACCTCCGGGGACTAGGGTGTTGGAGGTTTTGACTGCGACCTCGTGAAGAGCGAGTCGATCACCTCGGTGATGCCTCTGGGAGGCGTGGCAAAGGCTACCGAGCCTTGAACTTGGGGGTCGCGGCCACCGCGCCAGGGCGACCGCCGCTGGTAAGGGCCCACCGTGAGCCCGTGATACACGATCCTAATCTTGGTAGGACCACAGCTGAGACTCCGGTCGACGAAGCTCGGCCCGAACATCCAACCACTGATGTGCTTTCCTAACGGGAGCGAAAATGGTACTTCGGGATGTGGGGGGGCCCCGCGGCGTCGAGTTGATTGACGACGTGCCCTCACACGGCGGTCGCGCCCAGCCTCGGTTGCGGCGCGGTCGACGGCGGTTTGGTTTCGGAGTGGCTGTTAGCAGGAGCTAACCCTATGGTTAAAAGACCAAATGCTCGGTCTAGGGGAAGGTTGCCGATTGAGAAACTCCTTAGCGCTCACCCAGCCTACCGGTGGGGCTATATGCACCGGAGGTTGCCCGTAACCAAAAACGGGAAGCAATGAGGATAGCTTGCGACCCGACCTGGGTGGCGAAGGGTACGTGCATGCCTCAGCCAACGGTACGGGCGCACTCTCTCCCGACTTCGTTGGGAACGGGTGTGCGCACGGTGCTCGTGGTCCATAGACGACGCGCGGGCGGTGGTTGGTGGCAACGCCACCGTACGCCGACCGTGAACCTCCGCGGCTCTCGACTAGCGCACAGCGCTAATGTGAGGTCCGCGGTTGTAGCCGCAAGGCATCAAACCCGGGAGTCTTCGTGATTCAACTCATATGTTCCTGTAGGTATAATTACGTACTCATTTTCATTGATAAAATTACGGAAGGCAATAGTATTGCAGCCAGGTTCTATGTTTGGTATCGAATTATTTGTCTGTAAACTCGAAAGACATATTTGAGCTGTGTTATCAACCTCTAAAGGTGGAAAAATATCACATGCCAATTCACTAGAGTTCCCGTTTAATGTTATCGTGTACATGATAAAAATTTTAAACACAAATGTCCGCAGTTTGTGGTATTATAATTTTGCTCTCTGATGTAATTGAAATGTATGTCACATCCGTGAAAATATTGTTGTACTTCAAGTGGGGGTGGTAAATTTCCAAAACTGTCGTAATATTTAACTTGATTTCCGATTTTTTTATACGCTACCCAATGCGTTCCTGTACCGTTTTCCGTGTCCAAGTTAATAATCGCTGATTCTTGGCGTTTAGGACGGGAAGATAACCTATCTCTCGTAAATACGCCGATGAAATGAGGTATTTTCATTAAACGAGCGATTTTTATAAGTTCGAAATCGTACAACGCTCTACTGGGTAACGTAAATATTAGTTTTTTTAGCTTTGACACCCCCACCACTTTTAAATGGTGCAAGATATAAACCGGAACCGATTTTGTATGAGTTGCCTTTATACGGCGTTAGATATAAACCTTTACCCAGATGCAATGGTGTATTTCTATTAAATTCATTTGTCATTTTCACAACGTTGGCAACACCACCAGTTAAGGCTCCCAGAGCTGACAGACCGACGAAAATCGGTATGAGTGGTAACAAGCCGCCTTTCGTTATTGTTCGTGGAACTTTTGACTTATTAATTTTAAATGTTTTTCGTGCGACCGCTACACATTTTTTAGTTAATTTCATCAAGTTTTTTTCACCGATATTTTTCTTTAAAACGTTTTTACTAGCTTTAAGTGCCGCTTTAAACCCACAACCTCCGCCTATTTTACGTTTAGTTTTCATGGCGGTTGTTACACCCCAAGCCACAGCTTTTTCTTTTAAACTAGAATCTTTTGACTTGAACCTATCCCAGACTCGCTGCTCTAATATATAATCGGCTTTGTTACGATCCGCGATAGAGTTACTATTTTCGTATGCAATGTCGTGTTCTTTACAAGCAGAGTCCAGAAGGTTTATACCTTCATCACCACGAGCTAATCGTTTTTTTAAATTTGTACCAGGTCCACAGTATTGATAACCTAAAATATAAAATTATTATTGTATATGATATTATAAGGTTTATATATATATAATACCAGGTACGTGAAGCTCGATTGGTAATTTGTTTATGAGAGTGTTGATAAGTCCGCTGCCCTTATTCGTGTTCCTGCTTCGATCGAGTGACATTGTGTACTGTTTGGTTTATCATCGTTGCACAGTTATTTATATAAAAAATGAAGTTCATCAAACAAAAAATAAAACTATCAGTTGAAAACGTGGACCCGCCTACATCGGATCAAAAACACAGACATGGAGCGCTTCTACCAAATACGATACGCGCGCTTATCGTAGGTCCTTCTGGCTGCGGAAAAACAAATTTAATTTACACATTATTAACCAATATAAACGTTATACGATTTCACAACGTATACATATATTCGAAAACATTGGATCAGCCTAAATATAAAATGCTTAGCGATATATTATCAGACATTGATGGAATACAATTATTCACGTTCTACGAAAATGAAAAAGTTATAGCACCCGAAGAAGCTTTGCCAAACTCTGTATTTATTTTTGACGATATTATTTCTGAAAACCAGAATATTGCAAGAACTTACTTTTCCAGAGCTAGGCATAATTTAATAGACGTTTTCTACCTGGCTCAGAGTTATTCAAAAGTGCCAAAACAACTTTTGCGTGATAACGCTAATTTTATTGTATTATTTAAACAAGACGAAACTAATTTAAAACATGTATACAATGAGTATTGCTCTGGTGATATGTCATATTCAGAGTTTAAAGACTTTAGTACATCGTGTTGGAGTCGGGGGAGATTCGAGTTTATCGTAATAAACAAAGACTGTGAACGTGACAACGGTCGATATCGCCTCGGATTTGACACATTCGTCGTTATATAAAGTGTTGTTTTTTATGAAAATACCACATTCACAGACATGGCTTCTGACGGTGAGGTACTCGGAGAATTGATTAAAGCCAAAGTAAATATTAAACGCAAGTATGAAGCATTAAAACACGGAAAAGCTGATATTCACTCAATAGTATCAGAAACGTTTAGTCCGATTATAGAACCATTGAACAAGATAACACATTTAAATCCTGAGACATTTCAAACCCCACCCACGGAAGTTGAAAAACGCTCTCAAGATTCTCAACATTTTGAAAAAAAAGACACACACGAATCGCTAGCTTTTAAAATAAACGACTGGTTTAAGTCTTACGATATAGACATATATAGATATGGATACACGATATAGATATGGGCCTAAAATACGACAGGACGGAAGTCTACATTTGGGTAAAAAAGAAATTAATCTTGTCGACAAAAAGTTTATTATTGAAGATACTTCCTACCCGCTAACACAAGGACTTGGTAATTTAGTATTTTCGAAATCTCCAAAATTCTACACCAAACACGATTTAGAAGCATACAAATCTATATTAATTCAAACATCAGCGCACCTAAAAGCAGGTGGGGGAGAAATTAAAAAAGGTGGAAATAAATTCATTGATATAATCACACCATTATTTCCGCCTTCAGGTAGCGGGTTATCTATGAAATTACAAAAACATTTTTAGTGTACTGGAATGATCCTAATGAGTTAGTCGATAGATTGCGGCTACTATTAGCGTCAAAAGCGGCTGGTAATACAGGGCTTTCCAACGAAATACTATCAATTTACGAAGAATTGTATGAAGCGGGGATAATAAAACGTATTCCAAATGTCTAAACGCGAAATTGCAAACGAACTACACAAACCTGCTAGAAAAAATTATACAAGACGTAGAGTTAATGTTTATGGCAAAAACGATCTATGGCAGGCCGACTTGGTCGAAATGATACCATATTCAAAACAAAACAAGGGTTACAAGTATATTTTGTGCGTTATAGATTGTTTTACAAAGTTTGCTTGGGCCATAGAATTAAAATCTAAAACTGCTAAAGAAGTTTCAAATGTAATGTCAAAAATACTACTCAAACGCTCACCAAAACTTTTACAAGTCGACAATGGAAAAGAATTTTACAATACAACATTCGACGCGTTGATGAAGAAATATAATACACACAAATATTCTACGTATAGTTCAACGAAAGCGTGCATCGTGGAACGTCTGAACAGGACAATTAAAGGAAAAATGTATAGAGAGTTTACGGCACGTGGTTCGCACGAATGGATATCAATTTTACCTGCATTGATTAACGAGTACAACAACTCAAAACATAGGACAATAGGTATGACACCTATACAAGCAGATGCAAATCCGGAGGCTGTCGTTATTAAACAACGAAAAATTATTAATAGACCAATCAAATTTAACGTAGGTGACGACGTGCGAATAAGCACATATAAAAGAGTATTTGCAAAAGGTTATTTACCTAGCTGGTCTACCGAAATATTTAAAATTGCTAAAATAAACTATACGTCACCTACTACTTATCAGTTGCAAGATTATACGGGAAAACCGATTGCAGGCTGTTTTTACTCTGAAGAAATTCAAAAAACTAATCACCCAAACGATTATTTAGTTGAAAAAATTATCCGTAGGAAGGGGAAGCAAATGTTTGTAAAATGGTTGGGGTTTGATAATACACACAATAGTTGGATAAATATGTGTGACGTTAAAAAATAGCGTCAGTTGAGCCTTGAGCTACAGACATGAACGTGTTCGGTAGTTCTCAGTCTAGTGAAACTAATACATTTTTAGTAAATCTCGAACAAATTGTT